TTTCCACTTGACTTTATTTGTCAGTCAATGATTCAGTTGCCATAAACCATAGAGGATTGGTTAAGTGTATGTCTAAAACTGCCACTGTATTGTGACTTATCAATGAAATTAAACTGAGCAATCTTGGGGAAATAAACAAATGTTAAAAATCATTCACCTGAATCATATCCCGGAGCACTGTAGTCATGTTCTTTATCAGGGATGTCGTGGGTGTTGCAATGCAAATGAAATATATATATTTATACTAACTTATACAAAAAAATTCCATTATTTTATCCACACAACGTTTCAAAAATTGCTTTCATCGGATTGTTGGAAACGATTATTTACTCGAGAGTAACTATCCGCGTCACGAAATTGTTTACATTCCAACAACGGATCTTGGGCAAAATCTATGAGAAACACAGACCAAGGCGGGCGACTTAAAACCATTTTCCCAGAGATATTTTTTGATATCCTAACAGGTGGGTGCATATTTAATCCGTAGAAAGTGTTTTTATGGTATTTAAAGTTATAGCCCATAGAAAAATATGGCGATTTTTTAATGCAATAATTCGCTTGCAACACATTGTAAAATTTTGCGTGTCTGTTTGATCTCGTTTCGGGCTCAAAACTAACTTCGATTTATTTTATTTTTCACTCAGTCATACTACAAAGACCTGAACTAAATATAAAATCCATTGAAAGATTCTCGAGTAGCTGTTCTGCGGAGCGCGAAGCAATCAAATATTTGGAAAATCCAGCAAAACGGAAGTAGATTTTGAGCCCAATCGGACGAAATTGTTTTTGGCATATTTCTACCAAAGAAAGTTGTATTAGCAGAAACTAACTATGGCCCGGTTCTATTCTTACTAGGACCTATATACGGGCAAAATACAAGCGAAATTAATTTTTCGACCTGTGCCATTGATAGGCAATTTAGGTAGATTTTTATAGGCATTTACTCTTAAGGCAAAGTTTTAAAAAACTCTGTACAGAGGATTCAGAGCCACCTTAAATGTTTGAAAATATAAGGTGGCTCTGAACCCTGTGTACAGAGTTTTTTTAAACTTTGCCCAAAGTTGCATCTTTAATCATGCTTATCCAAAGTTGATTATATAATAAAAATTCATCATGCCTTTTTTGAATTATAATTAAGCCCCTAAAGCTGTAATTAAGGGTGTTTTTAGCAGGTCATACTTTTGCTGTGGTAACCTATTGTGTCACAAAAATGATGACAACATGCTCACAATGATTGGACATTTTGTGATACCATGATTGTAGCATTAAGTGACAAAGAGTGGTTTTTAATGACCCATCAAAATCTAAGTGCTGGAAACTGTTTTGAGCCACCTTAATTGTCTTTTTTTTTTTTCAGGATTTTACTGGAGTCATGTTTAAAAAGAAAGATTACATGTTTGTTCTTGAAAATGTAAGTTGCAATGAATGTAGTTAACCATAATTGTTCTTTGCACAGTTTAGACCACTCTCTTAGAATGACTAAATAAAAATTAATAAAATTTTAATGTTCTCATGAGTGCAATTAGATTTCAAAATTCTCAGCACCAGTACTTAATTGCATGGCAGTGAAAGTGCAGTTTGAGTTTTCTCTCTCACCAGTGTGGCCTGGTTTTGAATCCTGGACCTTTTGTCGATCATAAGAGGTTTAAGGACCTGTTTACAAGGAGGGAGGGTTACCCTAGCAAGCCGGTTACCCTAGCATTCACACATTTCCTCTTTTTTTCTTTGTCATGTTTACAAGGCAGCTAGGGTTATGCAGGAAGGCGGGTTACCCTATCTGCGTGCTAGGGTTGCCCTGGCAGGTGGGTTAACTTTTTCCCTTGTAAACACTCTGGCTAGGGTTAACCTGCCCACCCGGGTTAACTTTCTAATTGTTTCCAGACCCTTTGAGTGTAACCGCGCATTAAGTTGTCCTGGGTTGT